TGCTGCTGCTTATGTTCTTGGTTCTTCAAAGGAGATAGAAAGGTGACTGGTGTGTGGTAAAGACAGTGTTTACTCTTGTCAATAAACCATTACCTGGAATAATGCTGCCAACAGCATGCGAGAAGGAAATGGTTCAGGATCAGGGCTGTTCTGGGCATGGTAGGGACACTGCTCCAAGATACTGTATATTATGTGAGACTCCTGCACCAACTGAGCCTCCCGGAGGCAACAGAAGCGTCACTTCTCTCACTCTGAGAGTTTCATAACATACAGAAGATCTCCCCTCTCAGCGTTAGCCTTTAAATTCTGTGATTTATGGAGTAGTCTTTCAGAATGTTAATCACGGAAGGCAGTGAGGCAAAACCCAAGGAGTCTGACCCACCTCAGAGATGAAAGCAAACGACCCTGCTGCAGCAGAACAGGAACATTTAAAATTTGGACATTACTCAGAAGCCAGACCTAGAAACACTTTATTTTTTTTTTCATAAAATCACTGTGCTGTCTTTGGGAATTTTCAGAAGTGCTGCTCATAAGAATATAGGACAAAAAAGTAGCATTCATCTGTGTCTCAGAAAAGGATAAAAAAAAAAGCCAAGTGCACAGCAAAGCTTGTTGCAAATGCAGGCAGATAGCTGAGGAATTAGAAGGCCAGGTTGGCTTGTGAAAACAAACCACAACAATGGTCACCCTGATAAACCTCTGAGAGATTCTTTATACTTCAAAATACATGCTCTGAAACCATGGCCATTGCCTTTATACTGAAACAATCATATCTTCCAAGGAGAAGGATTCTGGGACCTGTGGGAGAGTCGCAAAGGGGAAGTGTATCAGGATGTCAATGGGGAACTGGGAGCCATGAAGGCAGGTGTAGAACCCACTTCTAAACAAACAGCTGAGGGGAGTTTACGGTGGCCTGAGAAGCCCCAGTGTGTTCTAATCAGCCAGAGGAAGGAGGGAGGCAAGAAAGCTATCCTTCCTCTTTGAATAAACGCTTTGGTTTTCATTAAGTGGGCCCTAGAGGAAGGGCTTTCTGCAAAGATGAGGGGAGCTGCTCAAATCGTCTGAAGATTTCATGTGAATGTCTCAGCTGAAGGGTGTGTTTCTCAGCAACATTGCATCTCTTTGTTTCAAGATTTGGCTTAGCTTTATTCTAGCAATTTTTCATTCATCCCTAGAATGTATCCAACTAACACAATCAAGTTAACAAGCATTTATTAAGTGATGTTTGCTTTCAACCTGACAAGTATCCGTAGCCATTTCTTGTTCAGTTGACTAATTAATCCCCGCTCTCCATTTATATATGTGTGTGTGTGTACATATATATATATGTATGTATATATATGTTATATATATATATATATACAAAGTGTAGATCTATATGCATGACTGTTGACTGAATGTTTATTCATTCATGGGCTTATTGATTATTAATGCCAATTCATATATCTTCCAGAGTCTTATTTTCTGCACTTAGATACATTCCCTTTGGTGACTCCGGAATGATGACCGCAGATACAAAACAGCGTGAAGCAAGGCCCATCAAATAATTTCCCACTCTTTTTCAGGGGTGTGTTTGTAGCAAGTTTTTAAAAGAAGGGAGACTAAAGGTACCTATCCAGAACAGAGAAATTGTTATAATTCTTACTTATTCTTTGTATTTGTTTATATTTATTTATTCTTGTGCATTTGTGTTTTGTGCTATAAGTGTGTCCATGTGCTTAAGTGTTTGTATATATGTATGTGTTGGAGTACATGCACATATGTGCCCATGGAAGCCAGAGGTTGACATGGAGTCAACCCATGGCCAACCTCAGGCCCTCCTCCCCTTAGATTTTGAGACAGGGTATGTCACTGAACTGGTAGATCATGTTTTTTTTTCTAGAATGGGTCTCTGTTTAACTCCGGGGATGCTCCTGTCTCTGTTCCTCTGCCCCAAAGGCTGCAGATGGGTACCACAGTGTTCAGATTTAATGAGGTTTATGGAGATGTGATTCAGGTGTTCGTGTTTAAACTATAAACACGCCACTGACTGAACCATCTCCCCCAACAAACACTTGTTAGATCATTTGGATACAGCAGTAAACAAGAGTCTTCTTCCAAGAGAGTTCTGACCTTAAAAATATGGACAGACTCAACAACCAGGTGTTCCACTAAGGAGAGCAGCTCATCACATCTAGACACAAGCAAATCTTCAGGGGAATGGTATAACAACTCCTTTTACTAATCCTTAAATTAGCCTTAAAGCCTAGAAGTCTTCGTGGGATTCTCCTTAAACATGAAGAACTTTGTTATTGTGTTTTCAAAATGAAACTGGCCTTCAGCGTGTGGTTGGTTATAAAGAAAGGAACATTTTCAGGATGGCCACGGGTATTTTTAAAAATAGTGCCCACAAAAGGTCATGATATTGACGCAATTTTCCAAGGACTGGTTTCATTTTTTCCCAGCGAGTTGGTAATTAGGTCATTGGGCCAGTTGTTCTCTGGACTGACCAGCCTAGTTTCACCAGGGTTACTTCCAAAATTAGTCTTTTGTAGGGATTGTTAGTCACTCTCAGCTTTTTAAAAGTTAATTTGGCTTTCCTCTAAGGTGCCAATTACACCTCCCTGGAAACTTCAATTTTCCATGTATTCATAGAACCAGGATCCACCAATCGGCCCTACCACAGTCCGACTTTTCCACCATCCTGATTTGGCTGAACTAGACGGGAAAGATGGTTTATACTGTAGACTTTGGACATCTCCCCTTGGAAGCAGTCAAAGCATTGGCAAACATCATTTGGTTCTCACATGAATGTGAGTGATTTCCCTGAATATCAGGACAACATTTCTAAGACACTGTCAGTATCTGCTCCAAGACCATTTGATAGGTGTCTATCTGTGGGTTGGATGTTTCTCTTTAAGAATGGGTGGATGGGTGGATGGATAGATGGATAGATAGATGAAAGATGAATAAGTGGATGATAGATGGATAGGTGAAGGGATGAGTAGATGGATGGGAGGATGGATGGATGATGGATAAACAGGTGTGTGTGTGTGTGTGTGTGTGTGTGTGTGTGTGTGTTTTCAAGTGCAATGAATTACTTTCCCAGGAAAGATGACTATGCTCATCCAGGGACATCAGCGGGAGGACAGAAGAGAATGAAGTAAGAGATTTTCAGGAAAGTTGAGGCCATAGGGATGATTAAATTCGAATCACCTCTATGAGGCATACTAATGTATCAAGTCAGGAGAACTGCTGTGCTCCGGTGTGTAGCACCACTGGCTCTGCTTCAGACAGGAAGAGGAACGAGACCCAGCGATCCCCCTTCCCCATAACTACCTGTTTGCTGTGACCATGCAAATTCAGATAAAGATAAATCTTGAATGGAATTTAGTAAAAGGGACCCTGGACTAGGTCAGCAAAAAGGCAGATGTCAAAAAATGTCTAGTTCATCCCAGCACAAACTCCTTCTGTCCCAAACTTAAAGTGCTGGCTTAGCCTTTAGGATAGCATGTTGCCTCCCTCAACTGCCAGAGATCCTCGTGCTTTTATTTAAAAATATATAAGAAATAGTCGTTTAATAAAACAACATTGCTCTTTTCAAATTATGGTCCACAGTGTTCCAGGGGAAACTATTTCAAATTTTTCTGAGAAGCTAAATTCTGAGGCTTGTACGATGGTTCAGAAGGTAAATAAGCTTCCGGCTACATCTGAGGAACTGGATTTCATGCCCTGACCCACACGGTAGACAAAAAGAATTGACAACTTTAAGTTCTTCCCTGGCCTCTGCACAAACAATATGACATAGGATTGCACACATGTACATACACATACATACACACACATGCATACACACACAAAATGTAATACATTTATTTTTGAAAATACTTCTTGTGATAATACAGACATGCAGTTGGCCATCCTCCCTGTGGTTCACACGTGTACACAATCCCCACATGAAAGTTCTTTGGGATGAATAAAGGCAGTGCCATTTTCAAAAGGCAGTTTTACCCAAATCTTGATAAATTAAGATAAAATATTGTCATTATATCCAGAATTTCCATGCACAGCTCTTTCAGACTGTATGTGATAGCTTCAGAGGAGTCTAAAATGTTCTAACTTTTTACAGAGACTCAGGGGAAATGGATCAACTACAGCTCAGAGTTGCAAACAAAACAAATGTCACTCTTATTGGAGAAAAAAGATTATTTATGATCATTTAGATGTGGACATTTGGCGGACAGATTTTCAAAGTGAATCAAATGAATCTGTCACTTCCAGGAAAACAAGAGGCAACATTTGTTTGCAATGCTAAAGTATAGGCATCACATGCCAACCAACTGTGCCACTGGGGCACACTTTAATAATAAAATATAATCTTCCCAGTAAAAATGAATATTTGTCGTTATTTCAGATTCTTTTGCTGTGATTAGAGATGGTAGAAACAGCATGACTCTTTCACAGAGTGAGGTTTGTCAACATTTAATGGATCTAGATAAGTTGATCATCTGCTATTCTTCGTCTTCAGTGTTTAGATGACTTCTTTTTCTGTTTTAGTTGTGCGTTTGTATGTGTGTATGTTTGTTTCTACATACATGCATGAGTGCCTTTGGAGTCCAGAGGAGGGCATCGAACTCCCTGGAGCTGGAGTTACAGGCAACTGTGAGCACCGAGAAGGGAACCCGAGTCCTGTGCAAGAGCAGTAAACGTGTTAAACCTCTGAGTCATTTCTCCAGCCTCCTCAGTTGCCTTTCTCAAAAAAAAAAAAAATAGACATTAGATTTCCAGAAGTTTTAACATTGCATTTTCCCCATTCCTTTAGGTGAGCATAACCATTTCCCATTAAAAGTATTCCACATAGATAAACATATAAATGTTTATTTGTGTTCTAAATATATTAACCAATGTACACCATAATTTCTCTCTTGTAATTCTTGATGGATCATATCTCTAGTAAAAACCTGTATAATCATAGTAGGTTTTTTCATTTTGTTTTGTCTTTTTTTTTTTTTTTATAACAGAGCAAAGGACCTGAGGACCAAAACATTGGAGAAGCCACGTTTAAGTGATAGTTCTACATGAGCTCCCTCCCCGACTTGTGTTGATAACAGAACCTGGATTTACAAACTTGGAAGACTTTGAAGAAAACAGGCACATCCAGTCCTTGCTGCCCTCTGGTCAGGTGAGGGTGGCTGTCTGTGACCTTAGAGTTATTGTGGGGAACCCAAGACTTGGTCAGGGTGACCAATTGAATCACGTCTAAACCTGGCAGGAAAGTATTAGAACTAAGCATAATCCCTTTACTGAATTTTGTTTTAACTGAGTCCTCTGGTTCCCAAGAACATCGGATCTCTTCCCCTTTGCCCAGTTGGCATCGCGGTAACAATTGCATATTGTTTTGTCAAAGGCTGAGACTATTCATTGCAATCTACCAAAAACAAAGATGCTTTCCCTTGACAGCTACCAAGGCAATCACTTCTGTTAGGAGTGCTTTTATGCTGTTGAATGGCTCCTGGGTTTCCTCTTTGGAAGCTGCCTTATTATCCCTAAGCAAAGGTGTGTAAATACTAAGCATGAGGGCTTCAGGATGTCCTGTCAATATTTCTATTCATGGTGTTCCACATACAACAACTCCAACCCGGCTACTGGAGATAAAACTGTTTTTATACCTGGAGCTCGCTTTCTTGTGCAATTAGCTTGAAACCATTGTAATAAGCTTGATTGTAGAGTTGACCATTGACCACACTGAAGCCTCCCCTCGCTCATAAATGTATGGCGAAGACCTACCTACTGATGCAAAACTGAAGAGTCTCCATTGACTCCCAATGACACCCATGCCCCTCTCTGAGTGAGGCGCTATGTTTCAATTGGTCCAGTTAACAGATGAGAGAGAGAGTGAGTAAGATATATCCAGCATTGATCTTAAAACAGAGACTTGTGTGACTGTGAATGAGTATTGCCGTGGGTAACAGTGCTCATTCTGGGAAAACAAGAGCCAACACAAAAGGTACGGAGTGGCTATGTAACTCTAGGAACAGTCATGGAGAGCTTAATTTTTTATCTCTCTCTGTGGAAGAACAACTCAACCTGCTTAATGCTTTTTTTCTTTCTATTTTCTATCTTTTTGTTTTGTTTTGTTTTTCGAGACAGTAGCTTTGGAGACCATCTTGGAACTCGCTCTGTAGACCAGGCTGGCCTCAAACTCACAGAGATCCTCCTGCCTCTGCCTCTCAAATGCTGGGTTTAAAGGTGCACAGCCCCATTACCTGGCTACTTAATGTTTTCTAAAATGTTTGCTCATTAAACCCCTCTCCGAGTAATCAGCAAATCAATTTGATCCTACTCTTTCAGAAGCACTCTCAATTTTGATGTTTCTTCTTTATACCTGACTTAGCAATATTACTAGCAGAGGAGAGAGAGAGAGAGACAGAGAGAGACAGAGAGAGAGAGAGAGAGAGAGAGAGAAGAAAATGAAAATTGATGCTTTACTGAAGTCTTTTACAAAATGTCAACTACAAATATATTCCTTACTTTTTTGATCATTTAATATTTCTATTTTTGTATGTATTAATGTCTTGCCCACATGTATGTCCACGTACTCTATAAGTGCAGTGTTCACAGAGGTAAAAAGGATGCCTCTAGGATTGGAATTACAGAAGTTGATAGCCACCATGTGGGTATGGGGAACCTAACTCAGGTTCCCTGGAAGAGAATTCAGGGCTCTTAACCACTGAGCTATCTCTCCAGCCTTATACATATTTTCACAAGGAAACAGCATGCCGAATTCCTGTTTTCCTCAATGTGTGTGCTTTAATTCTCTATTTTCTTCATCCTCTTCTCCAGATTGAAAAGGTGGAGCCTGAAGATTGGCATACAAGTCTTTGCTTGGACCCCCCGAGAGAGGAGAGGTTTGTCTGGTGGAAAGCTAGAGTTCAGTGTTAAAGAGTAGACAGTGTAATACATGCCTTGTCCTAGGTATGGAAAGTAGACCCTGACAGACCACTTTCTTTTCCCCAGAAAGAGCTTATCTGAACATTATAATTGTATTCGTTGAAAAAATAACTTCACTAAGATACTTAGGATTGAAAAGGCCAGACTTCCAGGCTTACCAATTCAGATCCCATGATTTACCTAAGACTTCTGCTCCCTATATAAAGATACTGGCATGATCACATTGTCCTACTGCAGACATGTTCCAAACACACATGTTCAGGATGAAGTCAGGAGTCTTGGATCTTCACAGTGAGACTGCGAACCCCCGTCCTTCTTCATGCTCCACTCAGGCTGCATCCGTGTGTCTTGCCATGTGCTGTGTTTCTAGTTGCCTTGACGTGCTGTTTCTGTTCATATTCTTCAGGGGCTGCTCATCCTGGTTCCTTCCGAGGGTTTTCCTTCCCCCAGTTTTCCCTTTTTGAGGACATACACTGATAGCAGAGAGACTCAACAAGTTATACCTCTCAGCATGCAGGACTGAGAACACAGCAAAACCCATGGAAATCAGACTCCTACTCTCAACCTACACCCAGTTTTAAACCATGCATCTTTCACCGTATGCACCCCAACTACCTGTTGTCTTTATTAGTCATTCACCTGGCTGGTTCACATGCACGTTTCTCTCCATGAAACCACTTAAACCCCCAGGTTTACTTACTGTTATTGCCCTCTGTGCCTAGGAAGACGAGTGCAAACAATGGGCATCTAGTAATGTCAGTTGGGCAAATGCATACATAGCCTCAGTCTGAAGCAGTGATTCTCAACCTGTGGGTCACAACGCCCCACAGGAATGGACTATCAGAGATCTTGTGTATCATATATTTCCATTATGATTCGTAACAGTAGCAAAATTGCAATTATAAAGTGGCTCAAAATAATTTTATGGTTGGGGATCATTGCAATGTCAGAAACAGTATTTAAGGGGCTAATGGTCGAAGCATTAGGAAGGAAAGTCTTCTCATACATGCTTAGACTACATGCTTACATATAGAATACATGCTAAGTCAATATTCTAACTGACTTAAACAACCTAAACATCTGCCAGCACATGGTGCGGGAGCATTGTCTGTATTTTGTCAATCATATTTTAATAAAACGCTGATTGGCCAGGCAGGCAGTATAGGCGGGAAAGCCAGACAGGAAGTAGGGGTGGAGCAAAGAGACTGGGAGTATTCTCGGAAAACAGGAAGCTCCCTCCGCAGTTCTGCCCACACCACCGGAGAGGAAAGATGAAAGCTGCCCCGCTGGAAAAGGTACTGAGCCATGTGCTAACGTAGATAAGGATAATGGGGTAACATAAGTTATAAGAGCTAATAAGTAGCCTGACCTAATGGGCCAATCAGTTTATAACCTTATGGAGTCTTGTGTGTGATTTTCTTTGTTGCTTGCCACCTGTTGGGGTACTGGGAGGGACAGAAACCCCAACAAGCCTGCCCTCACGTTACAAGCATGAGTTCCAGGAAAATGAGGCTTGATCACTGAAATACTGATTTTAAAGAGTCTTTGAAAGAAATGATATGGTTTGGAATATAGGTGAGATTCATAACTGAGAACTGGAAGAGCTCACCTCTGAGCTTCACCTCAGCTTCCTCACGAAAGCATGGGCTCCCACCATGAGGGACAGATGACACTGAGTGAGGGGGGAATAAGACACAAGTGGACACCAAGACAAAAGGGATCTACACTGAGACCTGAAAAATGATATATAATTCAGAGATCTAGAAAAGAGAATTGCTTAATAAAACATCAGAGACAGAAAAGATCATCTACCAGGTTCGCTCCGGCTGTCTTTCTTATCTGTCACCAACAGCATCACTAGCATCCTCTGTCAAGTCTGTCTCTAGTGAAGGCCACAGCTCCAACCTCCCTGCCCACAATCAGCAAGTTGGGGGACATGGCAGAAAAGGGAAGAAAGGATGGTAAGAGCTGGAGGAGGGACAAGAGTGCTGTAAAATGTCACCTAGACATGACACAGCTGTCACACACATGAGTTCTCAGATCTGGGCAAAATCAAACCAGTTAAACTTTCCATCAGAGGTCGGTAGGGGTTTCTGAATCTCTGTCGCTCACTGACAGACTCCTGCAGTTGATGACTGCTTGGGGAGGGAGAGTTACTCTCTCTTTGAGGATGTGATCACAGACAGGAAACATATTCCCTTGCTAAAGACCCCTCCCACCCGCAAGCATATGGGCAACACTAATTATCTGGTGGATTCAAATATAATAAATACATGAGTAAATGAATAAAAAAGAATCTGAAGTTGGGAGGGAAATGTGTTGGGTTGGTGGTCCTGGGAGAGGTTAGGTGGGAAGGAGCTACATGGAGAAGTATGATCAAGATACTCTTAGCCGGGTGGTGGTAGCACACGCCTTTAATCCCAGCACTCGGGAGACAGAGGCAGGCAGATCTCTGTGAGTTCGAGACCAGCCTGGTTGGTCTACAAGAGCTAGTTTCAGGACAAGCTCCAAAGCTACAGAGAAACCCTGTCTCGAAAAGCCAAAAAAAAAAAAAAAAAATATGAAATGGAGTTTAATAAGAACTTCCATTATTTCCTGTACAGTAAATTAATTCCAGAGTATTTAAGCCTCTATTTCTACATTTATTAAATGGATGCAATAATATTACCCAACCAAAGAAGTTGGGGGAAATTTTAAAAATATCATCCACAGAAGGCTTTAGCCTAGCACTTGCTCATGGAATGAACTCCTAACAAACTTCTC